GGGATTCTCAACCCCAGGGACAAATCCAGCTTCACGAAGGACTTCAGAAGCCCCAGGAGAATTGTTCCAGACATGGGTTCTTGGGGTGTAGAGCTGAGAGTCGGGTCTGGAACAAGTAAACTATCTAGGAGAGAGTGAGCATTTGCACAGAGTGTCTCAGCCCAGCATGAGGTCTCAATTGGCTTGTTTGTCCCCCTTCATACTGAAGTACCTGCCCAAACTCTTCACCTGGAGGTGGCCCCTCAAGGCCAGGCCGAGTGCCCTCAATGCTCCTAGCCCTGCCCAAGCTGAGCAGGGGAAGAAGGAAAAGGGAAGTGGAAGGGCAGCGAGGCTGCTTGCCCAGTGTGCAAAGAACAGGCTTCCCCTTCCATGACTTGCATAGCGTCAAGATGCCCAGGGGTTTTGGAGGGCTAGGGCACATTTGCATGTCCCTAAGGACCGTGTAAAAGGCAAGTAAAAAACGGCAAAAGATGATGACAACACTTGAAATCCTATTTGTCTCTGTTTTACTATGTTAGTGAGGCAGTGGGCCTAGCGAACGGGAGGTGGATGCATCAGGCAAAGCAGCAGCCCCTTGAGAGTGACTGGCCCTAGGAAGGGGAAGAGCACGGTCTAGTTAGCCAGAAACTGGCTTGTTAAGACATCTGGCTGTATTCCTACCTGATGTCGAGGAAGACTGAAACCTCAGCACAGGAACCCCCTTGGGTCCAGGAAAGGCTCTGGTCATGACCTCTTGCATCTCAGCTCTAAGAGGACCACCCCACAGAAGACCGTCTGTTGCTCCAAGGTCCAGAAAGGGAGTGCCTGCCAGGCTTCCTATATGAGGAGGTGTTTGCCTCCTCCATTCTCAAGGGCAGAAGTCCAGGCCCCTGTTTCCTTCACAGTCTGCTCCAGAACGACTGCCCTGATCCCTGGGATCGTGGAGCTACACCAGTGGCCACTTCTGAGTCCACTGATGACTTAGAGGGGTGACAGGGTGCTGTGTGTTCCTGTCATTGCTGTCATCACTGGCTCCCGACAAAAACAAGGCCGGAAGAATTACTTCTGGCTTACAGTACCCCTGGCAGGGGAGGCGTGGCAGGATCTTGAAGCAGCTGGTCACTTTGCATCTGCAGTCAGGAAGAAGAGACCAATGAACATGGGTGTTTAGCTAGCTTCCTTAAATGCTGCCACCCTCCCTTAGGGTGGTTCTTCCTACTCAATTATCCTAATCAAGATAATCCCTCACAGGCATGCCCAGAGGCTATCCTAAATTACTCCTCAGTGTACCCGGAGGCTTGTGTCCTAGGCAATTCTAGACTCTATCAAGTTGACAGCACTAATCATATCACAGGTTTTAAGAGGAAGGTGCAGGCACCAACCAAAAGGTATGTATTGAACTCTGGCCAGGATACTGATCTGTGCTGGGCTCTGGGTTCTAGTTCACTCACTCTCCATCCCAGTCCTGCTACTGAGATTCAGTGAGGCCTCTGTTTCCCATCTGAGACATGGAGTAGGTTTGGAAGAGCTGTGTCCACTACAGCTCCCTGCTTGTACACCAACCCTGTCTGGATGGGCAGCCAGGGAAGAACCGCTCCAATGGTCAAACCACCGAAATGGCCAGTTTTTCTAAGTGAAGGCATGAGAAGCCCAGATAACAGGAAGAAGTGCAAGTATTCCCACTGGAGAGGATGTTGGGCTAGGTGTTTCCAGGTTCTTGGCCCCTTGTTTAAGAGTGAAATGAGGCCGGGCGGTGGTGGCGCACGCCTTTAATCCCAGCACTCGGGAGGCAGAGCCAGGCGGATCTCTGTGAGTTCGAGGCCAGCCTGGTCTCCAAAGCGAGTACCAGGAAAGGCGCAAAGCTACACAGAGAAACCCTGTCTCAAAAAACCAAAAAAAAAAAAAAAAGAGTGAAATGAAAAGGCTAGAGACCTCTTCCAAAGGTCCTGAGTCCGATTACCAGCAACCACATGGTGGCTCACAACTATCTATAATGGGATCTGAAGCCCGCTTCTGCTGTACAGGTGTGAATGCAGATAGAGCACTCATATGCATAAAATACAGAAATCTTTAAGTGAAATAAAAGCCCACACAGATTGTTGTAAAATAGCATGGAAACTTTATTCAAAGAATAGAACAATTCAGAACACATCACAAGAAAATAGTGGTCCATACTCAAGGGCACAATTTCCTTTTTAAAAAATGTAAATGAGGGGTTGGGGATTTAGCTCAGTGGTAGAGCGATTGCCTAGCAAGCGCAAGGCCCTGGGTTCGGTCCTCAGCTCTGAAAAAAAGAAAAAAATGTATATGAGTGTTTTGCCTGCATGGATGTCTGTGCACTACCTGCATGCAGTGCTCATAGAGGCCAGAAGACCTCAGATCCCTTCGAACTGGAATTACAGGTGGCTGTGAGCCACCATGTGGATACTGGGAATCAAAATGAAGTTCTTTGCAAGACCAGCAAGTGCTCTTAACCTCCAAGCCATCTCTGTAGTCATAAGGCTTCCTTTTATGGAGCTCAAGAGGAGTTTGGTTACTAGGGGGATCTGTAGCATGGTTCTTTATCTTGACAGATTGAGTCATAAACTTTAATGCTATGCATATTCTTTCTCATAGTGTATCTGATTTTAATCATATACATACCCAATTATGCACAGACATTAAATAGTAAATAGATTTCTCCTTAAAAGTTCACTTAGAGAAGACAGTTTGCTTTATTGTACATGTACCCCAAACCAGTCCAGGTTAGATTAATCCACTTCCTCTGTACCCATGTATTCCTGTATTGAGAATCTGTTTGCCAAGTTTGATGCGCCTTAAGGGGACGAGAAACTTCTTCCATTTTTCAGAGTGGAGTGGGTTTGTAGCTAAGTACAAATGAGAGTCCTAGGTTGCTAAGTTGCTATGTACAGTGCTCAGAGAGATGTGTGTGTGTGCATAGTACATACAGGTAAAAGTCCTAAAATGTTAAATGCATTATAAAAGGTTTGTGTGTCGAAACCTAAGTCAGAAGCTCATCTTTTAGTTAAAGGGGGACCTGTAGGGTCCTAGCCCCCGTTTTGGGAAATTGTTGCCTTGTTTGCTGACCTTGATCTTGATAACCTCCCTATGCTAATTCCCTGCCAGGTTCCACCCTCCTGAATGCTTAAGGGAAGTTCCTTGTCTGTGTATCCTGCATAATGGGCGTTAACAGCTGAGATGCAAGATTGTAAAACATCTGTAGCGAACTTCTGCCCTCCAGGGTTCTCCCATTGTGCTGTAAGCCTGTATTTAAGACCTCTTCCCTCCTTCAATAAACAGCATCTGGCATAAAAAAAAAAATTAATTAAATTAAAAAAAAAAAAAGGTTTGTGTGCATAGTCTAAACCAAGTAGAGTCCCAGGTTGCCAAACTATTCTTTATGGTTGTCTGCCTCACTGGGTGCTGACTGGGTTTGGAGCCCCTTTCTGGGGTGGCAAGGTGACAGGTATGCATGTGATGAGAAATGTTTAGACAACCACTGGGGTGATATGGAGGCAGCTTGAGACCATCCACAGAGACCACTGAGATACCTTAGGTGATATAAAATGGGCACCGCTTGGTGAAGAACTACCTTGGAGGAAAGTTGGAGATGAGTACCTAGGGGGCTGCTAAGCTCAGATGAGATGGAACTCGTGGGAGTTAGGGACAGGCAAAGGTTCTTAATAGCAGTGAGTAACACCAGTAAAACTTAAGCAGCCGAGGAAAGAAGGCTATGTGACTGGGAAGGGTTTTGTGTACTCTGGAGGGAACTCTCAGGAGTGTTGAGATACAAGGGTCTTATGGAGAGAGAAAGGTCAGTATGCAGGGATGAGGAGAAGGGTGGATCATGGTGAGGACATTAGGAAGGAGCAAAGGAAGGAGGAGTTTAAGGGTTTGCTGCAGGGTCCTGGTGGGGGAAGGGTAATGGGGTCCAGGGAAAAGCTGGACTGACTGTGGAAGCTGAGGGTTCAGATGGGCCCCTATGGGCTATTTGCCAGAAGGTCATGAAAGATAACAACTTCTAGTGGCCTTGGTTCTGACTTATTTTCCAAGATGAAAATAAAATTTTCAAAAAATATTGTTGACATTTTGTTGTTCGTTCATTTTGAGACAGGATTTTACTATACAGCCTCGGCTGGCCTAGAACTCACTGTAGATAAAGCTGACTCCCGATTGCTGGACTAAAGGCTTGTACCACCATGTCTGCCTTTTGGTTTTGGGAATGGGTCTCACTATGTATTCCAGGTTGACCTTAAACTTGGAGTGAGCCTCCTGCTTCAGCCTTCTGAGTACTGAGATTATAGGTATGTGGTATCACAGCAATTACTGTTGTTTTGTTTTTTTATTTTGTTTTTTGAGATAGTGTCTTAACCATGTAACTTTGACTTTGAGTTCACAGAAATTCATCTGCCTCCATCTCCTTGTGCTGAGATTGAAGGTGTGAGCCACCACACCCTGCTGAGTGGTTTGGGGTTTTTTGTTTGTTTGTTTGTTTAGTTGGTTGGTTTTGATTTTTTTAAATACTTATTTTATGTATATGAGTGACCTGTCTTCATGCACACCAGAAGAGGGAATTGGATCCCATTATAGATGGTTGTGAGCCACCATGTGGTTGCTGGGAACTGAACACAGGACCTTTAGAAGAGCAGCCAGTGCTTTTTTTTTTTTTTTTTTTTTTTTTTTTGGTTTCTCGAGACAGGGTTTCTCTGTGTAGTTTTGCACCTTTCTTGGAACTCACTTTGTAGACCAGGCTGGCCTCGAACTCACAGAGATCCGCCTGGCTCTGCCTCCTGAGTGCTGGGATTAAAGGTGTGCGCCACCACCGCCCGGCAACAGCCAGTGCTCTTAACCACTGAGCGACTTCTCCAACCCTGGTTTTGGTTTTGATGCTTTGTAGCTTTGGCTGTCCTGGAACTCACTTTGTAGATCAGACTGGCCTCAAACTCAGAGATCCTCCTGCCCTGCCTTCCAAGTGCTGGGATTAAAGGCGTGCAACACCACCGCCCAGCTATTACTTTTTTTTAATAATAAAACATTTCATGAATTTGCATAGCATCATTGCACAGGGGCCATGCTAATGTCTGTATCCTTTTATTTTCAGTATATGTACTGCTGAGTTGAGCTCTTGGAAGGTTAAGGTCCGTATGTCCATCTTTTTGTGGAATGCAGATATATTCTCCTATCTTTAGCTTACCTTTTTAGACCCTTGTAGGGGTATGCTTTCGGCTTTGGTTAAGGTCCCATTTACCAATATTTCCTTTTGAGGTCATGCTTTTGATATTCAGTTTAGGAAATTGTTGCTTAATTCTAGATCCCAGAGACTTCCTACTAGTGCTTTTTGGAAAGGATGATAGGTTTATATTTAAATCCTTTGTTCAGTTTGACTAAATCCTTGCATAAAGTTTGATATTCTTAGGTTGATCCGACTCCTTCGCCTTCCCCTCCCCCAGCTTCACTTCTTAGTAAGTTAGGTGGACTGACGTTTTTTCCTCCATAATTCACCTTTTCCAAAATTGTTTTAGCTGTCATGTCAATTTTTAGAATAATGTTGTATCTATCCAAAAATACTGCTCAGATTTTGGTAGAAATTAGGTTAAACTTAGAGCTAAATTTGGAGGAAATTGATGTTTTTATTATTTTGAATATACTAGTGTGTGAACATAATATGTCTCATTCATTTATTTAGAACTTTTTCTTTTCTTCCTTCCTTTCTCTTTCTTTCTTTCTTTCTTTCTTTCTTTCTTTCTTTCTTTCTTTCTTTCTTTCTTTCTTTCTTTCTTTCTTTTTTTCTAACTTCAGGGGGAATTTTATTAGTATTTAAAAGAAAAACACTTGAAGGCAGGCAAGCTGTAAATCTCAGTTACTGCCCAAAGGGGAGCAGTGGAGGAGAGAAGGAAAAAGCCATGCTGATTGAGTTAAGCTGGCATGGAGGTCCGCCACTTGTTTGTGGGCAGCCACATGGAGGGAAAGGAGCCTTCAGAGAAAGAGCAAGGAAAAACATAGTTCTGGCCAGCATTTGCAAGAAAGAGAAAGAAAAATGAGTAGTTACACCTTTCTCAATTGGAACAAAGAAAGGTGGGCAGATCCAGTGAACCTCATTGCAACTTTGTGAATCTCACTGCAACTTTGTGGCAGCTTATAGGGGGGCCGCCAAACATTGTTTTCTTTTCTCTCTTTCTTTTTTTTTTTTTTGCTAGGTGGTGTGGATAGGGGCGTGGAAGGGTGGTTTTTTTTTTTTTTTTTTTTTTTTTGAGACAGGGTTTCTTACCCTGTGTAACAACTCTGTCTGTCCTGTAACTTGCTTTGTAGACAAGGCTAGCCTCAAACTCACAGAGATCTGCCTGGCTTTGCCTCCTGAGTGCTGGGACTAAAGGTATGCACCACCACTATCCAGCAAACTGTTCTTAATCAGTGTTTTATAGTTTTCAGTGTACAAATTGTATTCTGTTAAATTTATGTTAAATATTCCATTTTAACCCATTGTAAATGTGTGGTATTTTAAGTATCAGTGTCCCTATGTTTACTGCTTGTAGGAAGATATAATTGATTTTTTCTAATGTTATTTGTGGGACAGGGAGATAGCGCTTCATGGAAAGGTACTAGCTGTGCAGGTCTCCTGACCCAGGTTCCATCCCCAGCACTTGGTAAGTGCTGCATGTGCTTGTTTGTGTTCCTACAGCAAGGTGAGAGGTGGAGAGAAGAGAATTACCCAGAAACTCCTGGGCCAGCTAACCTGGAGCAAGCAGTGGAATAGCAGAAACAAGAGAGACCTTGCCTCAACAAGTTGTAAGGCAAGAAGCAACTACAGAAATTGCCCTTTGACCTCCACACACATGCTAGCACCTGCACTTTCATATACACAAAATAAAAAAAAATTTTTTTTAAGTCTTTTCTGTCTTGAAAACTTGCCGAGTTCACTTATTAGTTCTAAGGTTTTTTTTTTTTTTTTTTAAGATTTGTTTATTTTTCTTTATGTGTATCTGTGTCTGTGTGTTTGCACATGTGTGTGGTTTCCATGGAAGAAAGAAAAGGGTGTCAGGTTCCTTAGAGCTGGTTACAAGCATTGTAAGCTGCCTAACATGCTTGTTGAGAATTAAACTCCATTCCTCTGGAAGAACACCAAGTGCCCTTAACTGCTGAGTGAATGAAAATGAAGACATGGGGCCTGGCGGCGGTGGTGGCGGCGGCGGCGGCGGTGGTGGTGGTGCACGCCTTTAATCCCAGCACTCGGGAGGAAGAGCAGGCGGATATCTGTGAGTTCAAGGCCAGCCTGGGCTACAGAGTGAGTTCCAGGACAGGCTCCAAAGCTACACAGAAAAACCTTGTCTTGAAAAACCAAAAAAAAAGAAAAGAAAAGAAAAGAAACTGAAGACATGGTCAATCCTAGTTATGGTTGAGGAAAAGGTTTTATTGTAGACATGAGAGAATAGAGCCAGAGGCATCTGGAAGTTACAGACTAAACCAGGCCATGGGAGGAGAGAGACAGGGAGATAGAGGAACCAAGAGGCCAAGAGAGCTCGTGAGAACCAAGAGAGGACCCAAAGAACAAGTAGCCAAAACGACTGGGTTATATATAGGAGAAAAGAGAAGCTGGGGGAAGGGAAGGGAAGCTTAGGAGCTGGAGAGGTTTAGGGTAGGGGGTGGGTCAGACAGGATGATTTGTAAGTAGAGACTGAAGGAGCCCAGAGGTTAGCATAGACCTTGATATGCTGATAGGCACCACAGGCATAGGCTATTGGAGGAGCCATATTTCCCTTAAGTCCTTGAGGAAATGCTTTTGTCTAAATGCCAGACTTTGGGAAAACGAATTTTTTGAGACCTAACACTGAGCCATCTCTCCAGTCCCTAGTTCTAGGAGGGTTTTTGTTGTTGATGGTGGTAGTTTATTTAATGTGTTTTCAAGACAGGTTTGCTCTGTGTAGCCTTGGCTGTCAACCAGAAGGAGCTGATGTTGCAGAATATATTCAAAGGGAGCCTCTTGCTCTGGAGATACTGCAATTACTTGTATTCAGGCAGACAGTGATTGGCAGAGGCCTTCCCTCATTATGGAGATCAATCTGCTTTACTCAAAGCTCACTGACGGAAGAGTAAATCTCATTCAGAAACAAACAGAATGTTTGACTAAATATCTGAGTATGGTGACCCAGTGTCTTAGTTACTGTTCTATTGCTGTGAAGAGACACCATGACCAAGGCAACTCTTACAAAAGAAAGCATTTAATTGAGGGCTTGCTTACAGTTTCAGACGGTTAGTCCATGATCATCATGGTGAGGAGCATGGCAGCCTGCAGGCAGGTGTGGTGCTGGAGAAGTAGCTGAGAGCTTTAAATCCTGATCCATAGGCAGCAGAAAGAGAGAGACAGACAGGTAGGCAGGCAATGACTGACTGACAGATTGGGCCTGGCCTGGGCTTTTGAAATCTCAAACCACATTTCTGTTGACACACCTCCTCCAATAAGGCTATGCCTCCTAATCCTTTCCAAACATTTCATCTACTGGCGATTAAGCAAGCAAATATATGAACCTTTGAGAGGCATTGTCATTCAAACTAATATACCCAGGGACATTGATACCTATTAGCCATCATCATTTCCCTCTGATTCATAACATCTGGGTGCTCCAGAGTTTGACTTCCTATGTCTCCCCAATATCAATATCAATCAGTACTTGGTCTTCTTTCCTTGACTGAATTTTATCAATTTTATTGATCACTTTGAAGAACCAACTTTTTGTTTCATTGATTTTCTCATTTTCTTTTTTTTTTTTTTCTTTTTTTTTTTGACTGGGTTTCTCTGTGTAGCTTTGTGCCTTTCCTGGAACTTACTCTGTAGCCCAGGCTGGCCTCGAAGTCACAGAGATCCGCTTGGCTCTGCCTCCCGAGTGCTGGGATTAATGGCGTGCACCACCACCGCCTGGCTGATTTTCTCATTTTCAATTCCACTGATTTTTATATTATTTCCTTTCATTTGTTTTGGGTTAATTTTGCTCATCTATATCTATGTTCTCAAGATGGGAGCTGGGGTGGGGGCAGGCTGGAGAGATGTCTCAGTGGTTAAGAGCACTGACTGCTTGTCCAGAGGACCCAGAGTCAATTCCCAGCACCCACATGGCAGCTCACACCTGTTCGTAACTCCAATTCCAAGGAATCTGACACCCTCACACAGACATACAGGCAAAACACCAGTGAACATTTAAAAAAAAGATGGGCCGGGCGGTGGTGGCGCACACCTTTAATCCCAGCACTCGGGAGGCAGAGCCAGGCGGATCTCTGTGAGTTCGAGGCCAGCCTGGGCTACCAAGTGAGTTCCAGGAAAGGCGCAAAACTACACAGAGAAACCCTGTCTCGAAAAACCAAAAAAAAAAAAAAAAAAAAAAAAAGATGGGAGCTGGGATCTTGCACCATTGCTTTGAGATACTGTTTCTTTTCTTTTTAAGATAAGTTCTTGCTATGTAACCCTAGCTAACCTGGAACTCACTGTGTAGACCAGGCTGGTATTGAATTTAGAGCAGTCCTCTTGCTTCTGTCTCCTGAGTTCTGGGATTACAGGCATATACAACTAAGCCTGGCCATGTTTCTTTTTTCTAAGATATGTATTTAGAGTTTAGATTTCCCTGTGTCCACAGTTTTTGATATGTTGTATCTTTTTCACTGGATATAATGTATTTCAATTTCCTAATGCCTCTTTTTTGTTTTATTTTTTATTTTTATTTTTTATTACTAAGAGATTTTCTATTCATTTTACACAGCAACCACAGATTCCCCTTCCTCCCTCCTCCTGCCCCCCCAGCCTTCCCCCCAACCCACTTCTTTTTTGTTTTGCTTTGTTTTTTTTGTGTGTGTTTTTTTGTTGTTGTTGTTTCTTTTTTTTTTTTTTTTTTTTTTTCAGTTTTTTGAGACAGGGTTTCTCTGTGTAGCTTTGCGCCTTTCCTGGAACTCACTTGGTAGTCCAGACTGGCCTCGAACTCACAGAGATCCGCCTGGCTCTGCCTCCCGAGTGCTGGGATTAAAGGTGTGCGCCACCACCGCCCGGCCTTGTTTTGGTTTTTAATTTTAGGTGGTAGAGAGATGGCTCAGTGGTTAAAAACACTTGTTGCTCTTATAGAGGACTTGGGTACAATTCCAGCA